TTAGGTACGTAATGAGTATATTATATTTACATAGTCATGCCGTTATGAACACCATCGTGATACAATACTAAAAGAAGACAGGCTAGTATCCGTAGCCATGGCGCCTAAGAACGCTACAATGGAGGGTTTATCAGCTGATCGACATACCACCGCATTATCAGGCGCTATTAGCATCCCGAGCTTCCTTCGGTGTCTAAGGTAAATAGAGCTTATGTTACCTACATATGTAAAGTGACGATATATGTTATGTATTACTGATCGATCTACGTATGTGATGTAAGGTGTTTTCGCCTTAACCCTTTACCAAGACCTTATAATCTAGCACGCCAAGTACGTGCAATAATGATGCTCAACGGTTCATGCCTGCCTTCAGAATTAGTAGGAATAGCCTCAACTAAGTGAAACAATTACGGCGTTGGATTGTTCGTGCAATTATTACATGGGAGCGTCCCTGCATAAGTGCATTAGGTACGTGTGCATAATGTACTTTGTATAGGTACATAATCGCTAAGGATTTCGATTTAGGATGGCGAGGTAGGTTACACAACGTGGGGTTGGAATTACTAGGTGCATGTACATACGTAATAAGAATCACCAATCATAAAGCTAGAATTATCTTAAAATAACCATCGGATTAGTGGTTTCGCCGAAAAACTTTCCCGTGCTGTGGGGCCGTGGGAATAGATATGCGCCTAGGAAATTTCCGTCCTTTTGAGCTTTTGAGGCCGTAGATTGATTGCGTGGAGTAGGCTGCGAGAAATTCGCTGTTAGAGCGCGCGAGACATCATGGCAGCTCTCAGAGAAGCCCCTCGAGCTGGCCGCCAGCTTCTTGGTACCGCCTCGCGCTGGATGCCTTGTTCGGCCACTCTTCAAAGATGTGCATCTACCGGCGCTACGCCCGTGATACCTGATATTGAGGAGGATTCCGGCTTAACGGCGCCAATTGTCACAAGGGAAGATGCAAAAGTTACGGACCCAAGGAAGAGGGCAAGTCGCAGAAACTACGAATTGCCGCACGAGAGGTAGGCCCGACATACAATGCGATGAAACCTTTGAACGGAGGAATGGGTTGCTGAATCTCGATCGCGTAGATACCGATACCATCCTCCCAAATTTGACCGAGGACCTTTGCACCCGGTTCAACCGCCCCCGTCCTCGGATCCTGTCGCTCGAGATTTCGCGCCTGGACCGTTCAATCTCCCCCGACTAAAGCAAACCTTCCACTCGACAACCGCCTCCGACATCATGACTTTAATGTACCAGCACGTTCCCCCCGGAACACCTGACAAGCCTGAAAGGATACGGTTGCGGGAATGGGACGACACATCACCCTATATGAAAAATCGACCTAAGAGAGGTCCCCGAGGTGCCGATGTTCTCTTCCCGCTCGAGAAGAGTATCACTTGGCAGAACATTCCCGAGATCAGGGCGGTACATCTAGCTATGTACATGCCCAAGGCGAAGAAGAACCCGGACCATATCACTGTGGGAAGGGCAGTGTTGCGGACCATTGCAGGTGTCCGCCCCGAGGTTACGACAACCAAGACGAGTGTCTCGCAGTGGGGTATTGTCAAGGGTGATAGGACGGGCGTTAAATGTTCGCTATACGGAGACCATGCTTACGAATTCATGGACAAGGTCATCCATCTAGTCTTTCCAAAGATCAAGGATTGGAAGGGCATTTCAGGTTTGTATCTATTGACCATTTCGAGAAAACTAGGCATTAACAAAATCTAGGCACCAGCGGTGACAGCACCGGTAACATCAGCTGGGGCTTCGAACCCCAGGACATGCTCTACTTCCCGGAAATCGAAGCCAACTATTCTGTAAGTTTTCAAAAATACATTAGGCAACGGAATTAGCCATTTACTTACATGCGCATCTAGCTATACCCATCCAAGATGATATCTGGGTGCCGCATGACCCTCGAAACAACAGCCAAGTCTGACAGACACGCCAGAATACTCTGCATGAGTCTGGGTATTCCATTCTACGGTAAACTCGTAGACTAAGACATGGCACTCATGTTACCTTAAGACGTACATATTCACCGTCCTGCCATGTTAGGATGGTGCTGTAGACTAATACAGCTGTACAATAATTATATGCGGAATTATAAATCAAAAGAACTGAAAGATGCATAATGTCGTTTCGTGTTTTACGATTGTAGAAACCCGTGACTATCTCTAAGTGTATCATGACCACGTAGATCCCCCTTTTTTGACTGACCCAGATGTGCCCACCAACGCCGATGATGCCATTGTCCCATACCCCATAACCATCGAATCTTATGCATTCAAAGCCCTCTGTTTCAATCCGTTAATCAGTCCGTCCACTGCATCCATATCCGCTGCGTCAATACCTTCCTGGACTTCCTCGCCCCTCTTCCGCAGCTCCTTGGCGGCAACGTCTAAAGCGGGCTGGTAATTTCTCACAGCGGAGCTGAGCGCATAGACTGCCTTGCGGCGCACGTCCTTCGTCTCTCCCTGATCAGCAGCAGCAGCGCTCTCCTCCGGTTTCGTCGTCGTCGTCGTCGTCGTCTCCTCCTCCTCTCCAGCACCCGTGCGCTTCTCCACCGGCAACCGGTCGCCCAGCGCCATCGTCACGAGCCTCTCCACCCCGCCCAGCGCCACCAGGCGTTCCTGGCTCGGCGCATTGTTCTGGACGGCGGTGCCGACGCACCACGCCGCCATAAGCCGCAGCTGGTCCTCCTCGTGGGCCAGCAGCTCGAGCAGCGGCGTCCACAGCCCCAGCTTAGACAGGAGGTTGGCGTTGTCGAGCGACTCGACTAGCTGCTCTAGGTTGTCGAAGGCGATCAGCTTAGACTCGAGCGTGATTTCGGGGTCGCTGGATGTGATGTGCTCGACGGACGCCCGCATCAGCTCCGCGTCGGACGGCGCGCCCATGATCGCGGCGAGGGCTTCCGCGCTCAGCGTTGACCGGGGCGCGGTGGGTTCGGGGGCCGAGGGGTCGGTCTCTGCGGAGTTTTCGATGCTCCATTTTAGCAGTTCGTTTAGGCCTTTTTCACTTGCCATTTTTGCGATTTCTTTCCTACCCTTGATCGGGTGTGTCTTGTGAAGAAAAGATTTGGTGGTAATTCGAATAGTTAAGCCAAGATTTCTCTTTTCTCTTCGGCCGCGGGGAAAAGCAAGGGAGGTTGCTGAAGTTTGGTAGATTACGTCGTTTTACGTTGTCTGAGACAAGGTTCTGAGTACCGAGCGATTGGTTTGCCTTGAAGATTTTGATGTCGATTTTAGATGTCAATTTTAGATGTTGAAATTACTGGATATGTTGAAATTTTCAGACGACGCCTTCATAGAGGTATTGCATTCTTAGGCTGTGTTCGTCAATTTGTCAAAATTTTGGCTGAGTAACTACCTAACTACCTACCTTAGGTACCTACCTTACAATCTTCTCCATAGATCTCCAAGGTTCGCGAAGCTTCACAAGGACAGGGCTGATAAGCTGAGAAAGTGGAGAGAAGATATAGATATTGGCCAATCAGAAAAGAATTTTTATTTGAAAGAGCATTTACTGTCAATTGGGTAGAATTAGGCACAACTCCTTTTCTTCTTCTTTTCTTTTCTTTCTTTTTTTTGATAACTGATAGCTACAGGCGCCACAGGCGGCTTGACTGTCTGATACCTATATTTATCAGACATGTACCTAGGTAGACATCCCAATAGCCGTTATCTTCTTCAGTCATTGCCATACATAACATACCTAATAAAGATGATGATGATGATTGAGCTGCCCCACCATGAATGCCCCTCACCCCGCCTTCTTTTTCTTCCAGTCTTGACCGCCCTTACCCCTAACAGTTCAAGATATGGTTATAAAATTTGATCAAGTTGCCATGTCACGATGTCAAATTAAATAATACCAGTCTATTTGTTAGCGGCTTTCTGGCTCCTTTTTCTTCGTAAATACTTGATGGCTGTTTCTAAAATTGAAACTAACATGTTTGCATTACATCTCACCCTTTGAGTATCTGCCTAGAGTAAGTAGCATATTAGCCAAAGGAACGGGTAAGTCTTTACGAATCATCATATATAGGTACGTATGTACATACATAGTTGAAATAGTCGTCGAGAAGGTAGGCGAGGCTGGCATAAAAGAGGTAGGACAGCACGAATTCCTTTGCCCCTGCATACGCAACCCACTCGCCCCAATGAGCAATGAGATTGTCAATTCTGACCAGTATCGGCGATGCCTGCTTGGCGTCAAGTTTTCTATAATAAACCTATCAAGTCGGATATCAGATGGGAGTACACAGTTTCTAATAGTATACGTAATTGAGCTCCTATGCTAAGCCACAGGCAACATGCCCGATAAACTGCAAACACATGTGTGGAAGATTATGTATCGACTGGGCTGTCGGTCCTCGGCGCATCTTCAAGTACGAGATAAGTTGCAGACTTCCTGAAGTGTACCTAACCTAAACCCCTGACTACCAGGTAAATACTAAGATAGGTACCGTACACAGACCGCGACAACGAGGTGGGTTAGGTACCTTTAGGTAGTCTATCGGTAGGTAAGTCTTGGCGAGGAGGCAGAGCTTAGGATTCTACCTAGGCATGGATACGGTCATATGCTAAGCCGTATGTAAAGATAACAATTAGTGACGCCTTGTCAATATACCAATCAAATACTAGATAAATCAGGGTGTCGAAAGTTGAAGCTTTTTCGAAGATGCCTGATTAATGTTTATCAACCAACGTAACTTAGCGTTAGGTAGAAGGTATTGTACCTAACTATCGTCCCTAACTAGAAGGAGCTTATTTATTTGGACAGATTACTAGGCATATTTCCGCTTTGTGTCAGCGGTGAAGGGTGCACTACCCAGTTGTATCCAGTTGTATCACTGGTTCTATCCAGTTGTAATTGTCTAAGTGAATTGGGTTATGTGCGTAGGCCATTCTTACCCCTGTAAAATTAGAAAGTATTAGAAGGTACCTTGGGTACTTTGAAGCGGTATGGCGTCTCTGATAGGCCTACGTATTTGTACTTGGTTGTGCCCCGCCTCTTTTTTTGTTTCGGCCCACAAGTTCCTCCCATCGACTGTGGGATCGGTGCATCAAGCCAACTTCGTTCCTCCCTTTTTTCCCACACTCTCGCCCCAGAAGTAATTGACTTGTCCGACTTCTCTACCTTAAAATCAACTTCCACGCCAAACACCTCCTTTTTCTCGTCATCCTTCTGCCCAGCAGACGTCGAGAAAAACAACACCATACTTGCTCTCACGATCCGGGAATCGCAAGGGCTATCAGAAACTTCCTCGTTCTCTTCTGTTATAATCTTTTAACACCTAACCTACGTAATCCATCACAATGGAGGGTATGTTGCTGCTCAGCCTAAGCTCTTATCTCGAATCCAACTGGTGCCTTCGAGCTTCTAACGAGTTCATAATGGCTAACGTTACTTTTCATCGCAGAGGAAGTTGCTGCCCTCGTTATCGACAATGGGTAAGATTTATCCTCACCTCACCGCATCCCGAAGCGCACGTCGTTGGGGGGTGATCTAAATATAATCATCATCCAAACCCTTTGACAGTAGCTTCGAAATAAACAATGTTAGAACACTCGAGCTGACTTGATATTAGTTCGGGTATGTGCAAGGCCGGTTTCGCCGGTGATGATGCTCCCCGAGCTGTTTTCCGTAAGTTCCATCCTCGCCCAACCATCGTCCCCGCTTCAGTCTCATCAGAACGGGCCTAAATTTGGATTCTTTTCTAACATGTTAACATAGCGTCCATCGTTGGTCGTCCCCGCCATCATGGGTAAGTAGCTGATCCGATATACTACATGTATAACCTCCGCGCACGACAATATCTAACAATATGCTAGCATCATGATTGGTATGGGTCAGAAGGACTCGTACGTCGGTGATGAGGCACAGTCGAAGCGTGGTATCCTAACCCTGCGATACCCCATCGAGCACGGTGTCGTTACCAACTGGGATGACATGGAGAAGATCTGGCATCACACTTTCTACAACGAGCTGCGTGTGGCTCCTGAGGAGCACCCCGTTCTGCTCACGGAGGCTCCTATCAACCCCAAGTCTAATCGTGAGAAGATGACCCAGATTGTCTTCGAGACTTTCAACGCCCCCGCCTTCTACGTCTCCATCCAGGCCGTCCTGTCTCTGTACGCTTCCGGTCGTACCACTGGTATCGTGCTCGACTCCGGTGATGGTGTTACCCACGTTGTCCCTATCTACGAAGGTTTCGCCCTTCCCCACGCCATTGCTCGTGTCGATATGGCTGGTCGTGACTTGACCGACTACCTCATGAAGATCCTCGCTGAGCGCGGTTACAGCTTCTCCACCACTGCCGAACGAGAAATCGTCCGAGATATCAAGGAGAAGCTCTGCTACGTCGCTCTTGACTTCGAACAGGAGATCCAGACTGCTGCCCAGAGCTCCAGCTTGGAGAAGTCCTACGAGCTTCCCGACGGTCAGGTCATTACTATTGGTAACGAGCGATTCCGTGCCCCTGAGGCTCTGTTCCAGCCTTCTGTGCTAGGTCTTGAGAGCGGTGGTATCCACGTCACCACTTTCAACTCCATCATGAAGTGTGATGTCGATGTCCGAAAGGACCTCTACGGTAACATTGTCATGGTACGTATTTATTCTCTGGATGTCTCTAATCTAAGTACTAATGTGTTATCTACAGTCTGGTGGTACTACCATGTACCCTGGTCTCTCCGACCGTATGCAGAAGGAGATCACCGCCTTGGCCCCGTCATCCATGAAGGTCAGGATTATCGCTCCCCCCGAGCGAAAGTACTCTGTCTGGATCGGTGGTTCCATCTTGGCGTCTCTGTCCACCTTCCAGCAAATGTGGATCTCCAAGCAGGAGTACGACGAGAGCGGTCCTTCGATCGTTCACCGCAAGTGCTTCTAAGGTATTTACTCCCATGGGAAATTACGCTCCTGGTATAAGGGTCTGACAATAAAATAGCGCCTGAATCACCGCAAACCCAACAATTTCTCACGAGCCCGTAATATTCCCAACCGGGGCGCGACATGTTTGGAGCTCCCACCGTTGCGAATGTATCCCAGTCGAGACTCGTATCTACGAAAAATTCTGATAATGGTCGAAAGATTGGGGCTGTATTACTCCCAGGGAAAAAGAGAATATGAGGTGCTTTACTTTTAGGAGGCCCATTCAAGCACGGGGTGGACTAGACAATTCCAGCCGAGGTTGATCATATACTACTTTATTTCTTCGTTACACTAATAAGTCTGGCGTGCCACCTTGTGAACCACAAGCATGTAAAAACCTACTACGTAATGATTCAGTAGAAACTATTTCTTCAACCATTTGTAAATATGCTCGTGTAATAACCGATATAGGTTATGCTTCAAAAAGTAATTGCGAAGCAAAATCCCACGGTTTCACATATACTCGTGTAGATGGGCCAGCTGCCTACCTTTTGAAGCTTATTTTTTAAGCTTTATTTATGTTCTATTCTTTCACTACTCCTCGAGCTATCTGGAAATTCTTTCTCCCCCCCACCATCCTCGAATTCCTCCTCCTCCTCCTCCTCCTCTTCTTCTTCTAGAGCCTCTTCTTCCTGCAGCGCGGTCCCAGCCTGAACCTGTTGTTTCTCCCCATCGAGCTTACGATATTTGCGGCGGCTCTTCTTGGCGGAGCTAGCCTTCTTCTTGCGCTTGAACTCGCCGACGACGGCGGAGCGGCTCTCGCCGCCGCGGGCTAGGTCGTCCAGCTTGTCGGCTAGCAGCTGCCGGGCTATGACGCGGTTCTGGGAGCGGGAGCGGGTCGCTTGGGACTTGACGACGAGGCCGGTGGGGAGGTGCTTGAGTTGGACTGCTGAGTTGGTTTTGTTCTGGGGGGGGGATGTTAGTTGGTGCGTTTTTTTTCTGGCTGGGGGTTATGTGGGCGGCTATGTAGGTAGGTAGGTAGGTAGGTAGGTAGGTAAGTGTGTAGGGGTGTAGGGATATGGCATAGTAGGTAGGGAGGATATGGATATATATCTCTCTATGGGTATGTTAGTCAGGTATGTATGTAGCCAGGCACGCACAATCTTCTGGCCGCCGGGCCCGCTGCCCTTCAGGAAGGACTCCTCGATGTCTTCCTCGGGAGGCGGCTTGGGGCGCGGCGGCAGGTTGGTGTTTTTGAGGAGGGGCGGGGAGGCGGAGAAGCTGGACGGTCGAGAGGCGATGGCGGTGGCGGAATATATATGGGATGGTCGAGATATGGAGGGGAGGTAGTTGCGGAACGGTTGCAGCCGCAGCAGCAGGGAGGGCATTGTCGGTAGGTATTATTGTCGTGCTAGGAGACCCTTCTAATAATTTTATACTTCGTATGTATGTACATACATACAAAATGTCAATTCTGCATCTTTGCTGTAAACAGCATTAGCAGCTGCCAGACCCGTGCCGCGACGTCACTGGCACTTACTTTTTTTTCTCTTTTTTTTCTCCCTAGCTCAGTAGATAGTACTTACATAGGTACCCTGCCTTACCTTACCTAATAAATTAGCGCGGCAGGCAATTCCGACAATTCAGCAAAGGCGCCACCCCATAAAAGGGGTAATTCCCACTTTCCCGTTCCCCCTGGTCCAATTAAGTCGTCCATACATATTATACTATTAAGTGCAGCCGTTAAACAATAGCAAGGATCCGTGCTGTTGTACCCGTACCCTTGAGGGCAATTCGCCAATTACGCGTCCCGTTTTCCTTCGGCCGGCGGTGGATTTTTGCGAGCAAGACGAGACAAAGACCTTTTTTTTTTTTTTTTTCTTCCACGAACGAAGAGAAATAAATACATACATATGTACATACATAGAGCAAGCGTGGTTCGAGAACTACTGCTACTGCTTCGACTTGTGTATCCCTGTCTTTTGTGAATTATTCCTTCCGAGACGAGACGAGACGAGACGAGACGAGGCCTCCGAATACATATCAACACACATACATATCTACTGCGTGCAACATCTCTCTTTCGCCGTTGACGACGTTTTCTTGAAGCGCTTTAATTTAAATAACCCAACCCAACCCTCAAGGCAATAGGGGGGAACACAGGTCTCTGACTTGCTTGATCTATCGCGCGAATCCGACCGGTAGAGACGCAAAAAACCCGAATTGGATTTGGCAAGGGAGATAAGGGATATCGAAAAGAAAAGAAGAGAGAAGAAAATAAAGCAAATATAATCAAGATGGAGTACTTGACAAAAGAGCCCGAGAACCTCAATGCTGTCCAGCGGTTTGGCCGCTGGCTTCGGTTGAAGCAGTACCAGATCGAGGTCACCTTCGGCGTCTACATGTTCACGTCGGCCGAGAGATTTATATTTTGTAAGTTATCTGTTTATCGACGCTATCACTGCCGCAGAACTATCCCTCGACATGCTTCTACATCAGGGAAAGGGAACGGGATAAATACACTGCAATACTAGCCCCGAGTTAAAATGGCCTACGTGCTAATCGTCTCTTTTATACAGGGTCTGTCGTATTCCTATTGTGCAGTCTATTGACCATCGCCGTCGTACTCTACCTCCCCCAGCACCTTCTCTTCATCATCAGCCGCGCCTGGTTCTACGTCAACGGCGGTGACAGCGGGGTTGCATCCAACGTGGTCGCAGGCAATAAGGACGCACTATCACTAGCAACTTCGTCTATGGCTAAGACTATGGCGGCAGTGGCTACTGAGACGGCCGAATATATGAACCGGGAGCTATGATTTATGCACGGATGAAGCCTCGGGCATGTTTCTTTCTTGTGCAAACCAGCAGACGACGAATGATATAATAATGGTAATCAGTGGTGCTTGTATATGGTGCAGCCTGGTCTACGAGTAATGGGATGAGGCGTTAATGTGCTTGAGTGAGATAATATGGCGTCTGGGTCGATAGATTTGTATCAATGGGCTCGCGGATAACTTCCAAGAAGCCCATTGGGAGGACGTGCGTGTCTAGAGAGTTGCATAGTTGGAAGCAAGACAGTTTCACGGGGTTCCTTCTGAGAACGAATATACCCTAAGTGAGCCATCCTCCCCAGCTATCGCCAGCTCGTTCACAGATCGCATTGGCCTCCATGAGAGTTGGAGAACAGCCTTGGCTAGGCATAGTCTATAGTTAAACCGTCAGTGGTTGATATTCTAGAAGTTAGATATCAGAAACTTACTCTGGCTTTAAACTCAACTTTGAAGATACACCGAGAGCTGTCGCATCGATCGAATATATCGAAACATTTCCAATCTCTGTGCCTACAGCTAGGAGAAAGGTATTATCCTCGGTGTTACGATGTAGAAAGTCGATAGCCGTGACCGGATGAATTTCTGGTATAGTAGTTACGCAGGTGATGCCTGAGTCCGCGGAGTCGGGCGATGCGTGTCGCCATAACTTCACTTGCTTGTCTCGACCCGCTGTGGCGAACACAACTGAATTGGTCCAAGGAGCCCATGCTGCATCCAAGATCATCCTCGAATGACCCTTAGGGTTGGACTGCATGAGCTTATAGCTCTGCTTATTATCACTGTCCCTCTCGAAAACCGCCCATTGCCTGTCTCGCCCAACGCTGAGTAAGTACATATCATCGGGAGAGAATCGTAGGCGTGTCGTGGTTAGAGAATGAGCTGTTAATGGTGGTTTCACTTCAGTCCACTTCTCCGTCTCGAATAGACGGATGACGGCATGGTTGATCGAGCTCGCTTTGCATGCGCTAGCAATCAAAGTTCCATCGTGATTTACAGCCAGACATGAAATCTCGTAGCCGTGTCCGTAGAGCTTTTCAATTTCGGGCCAGAGGGTGTGCCGAGAGAGGCTGTCCTCGAATGGCGGGTGGTCTATATCCAATACGGATTTGCGGACCGTGGACCCTGGATCTAAGGCGCCTCGGTCCGTCTCGGGATTGGCTGCTTGGACTTCGAGATCGTCGTCAACAGCTTCGATTGCCTTGTTTGAGAGGCCGAGGACCGGCATGTTGGCAGCGTCGGGCATAGCCTCGACGTCTTCATTGCCGATGTCACACAACCTACTTAGTAGCTTTGCCACCGCCTTCGGCTCATCAAATACACGCATCAGCTTCTCGTCGGCGCCGGAGACGAACTTGGAATTCCCAAGCGAGTCGATACAGTTAAGGTCATAACCGTGAATTTGCGGCCGAGCCATCTCATGCCACGTCTTTTTACCAGGTCCGTTGTTCCAGCTTGCATGCAACCGTGTCGTCTGGTCTGCACTCGTAGAAAGTAAATAGTCACCATTTTTTGACCATGCTATACCGGTGACGGCTCTTGTGTGGCCAGTGATACCGATGTGTGGGATCCATTGATCTCGCTCCTTATTATAGTCCCACAACCTCCAACTACCGGTCCTCCCGAGGCATACGACCGAAGTTCCATCCGGTGACCAAAGTCCCGTCCAGAAACCACCTGTGCTGCCCGTTGCTGTAGTGGCACCCTGTTCCCTGCTGATCTCACCGAGCCGTACAGTCGTCACCCAGATACCCGACGAAGGGTCTGCCTCCCATATAGCTAATGTATTATCTGCGGAAGTGGAAAGCAATTGGAGTTTCCCGGTAGTCAGATCCGAGTACCATCTGGCACTATAAATCCAATCATCGTGTCCTAGCAATAGAGCCTCGAATGTGATAGAATAGTCCTTTTCTACAGTTTTCAGTCTATGGGCCTTGTTTGAAGGAGATCTGCCCGGCATGAATGCACCCATAGACGGATCAGCTCCGTTTGCAGCTGCAGCGGGCAACTCCTTACCCTGGTGAAACCGCCAGAGGCGAATATACCTATCCTGGCTCGCGGATGCCAGTATCAAATCGCTATCGGGACTAGTTCCCTCCCGTGTAAAATCTAATGACCGAATCCAACCCTCGTGACCTGACAAGGTCGCCTGAAGCTGGAACCCGGGGTCATTTCTAGAACTTGCCACGAATATTTGGACGATGTCTCTAGTTCCCGCTACGGCTAGGACCAAGGCTTCACCATCCTGTCTAAGCGTACTTAGAGCTATTGAAAGAGGGAAGAATTTCGGAGCAGTCTTAATCGTTTGTAGCAAGCGAACATTGCCTTCTTCCAAAGCCCACACTTTTATCGAGGCATCAGCTGCTCCCGTAGCAAATATCCTCGACGTCGAAGTTGCCGACGCTCCTTCATGGCAGGCTGCTATAAAGTTAATTGCAGCCGTATGGCCCTGTGCAGTCTGGATGCAAGATGCAGTAGTGAAATCAGAACTATCGGATGAGAGCTCCCATATTTTCAGGCTCTGGTCATCGGCACCACTGAGCAAATACGTTTTAGACTCCCCCTCAAGTTTGGGCAGAAACCTGACAGCCTTAACGGCACCACTATGTCCGGAGATGAGGTTCGTCACACCTCTTGGTTGTGAATCCTAACGAAAGAAGAGTATTAGAAATTAACAAAATATACATCAGACCCTTGAATCATAATTAGTTGGACCTACATGGGGTCGCCAGAGAGCGATATATGAGTCAGCTCCGTAAGCCACAATGCCATCTTCGTTCCAATCTGCTACAGCAGTATGCCTATTGGCACCAGCGGAGAGATAATCGACGCCGACCTGGTAATTCTCCATGTGCGGCGTTGCAGTTGTGTTTTGTATTGGAAACGATTTGGTACATAGCAAGTTGCTTTTACAAAGTATAAAAGACAGGGCTTGTGATTGGTCGGTGCTCCAAAAATTCAGTTGAGAAGTCTGCGTCAGTTGCAAATCCCCACTTGTCGGGTGCATACAGTCGGCATTATACATATCCTTATAGTATAGGTACTTAACTAGGTACCTAACCTAGGGTATACTCTATCTACATACGCTGACTTACATAAACCTTTCCTCTCTTATAGCGTACATAGGTAACCTAGTATGTAACTTATTACTGTTTACTACCTATATTTACCGTATTCATAAGGTAGGTATTATAATTAGAAATAAAGCTATCATCTATTCCCTTCCTAGCATATACTCTCATATCAAACATCTCATGTTTAATTGCCTACTTGGGTGGGTAGTTTCAATGACGTAACTATGATCAAACTCCTTGTACTATGTATATAGATGAATCCTTTACTCCTATTGAAGCATGCAGCGTACAAGAGGCTAATGCTAAATATACCGTAATTTAAGACAATAATACTATAAATGGAAACTTGGTACCTTAAAGAACCAGAGTATGGGTTTTTAATGTTGGATTGCCCTATTGCGCCTTAAGCCACAAATACCCTACTGGACGATATCTCGGGGCTAATAAGAACGTCTCCTTTCCACACCGTCGAGCGTCGTATACAAGCAATTGGTTCACACAATTTGAAGGAGCACCATTCCGATTCCCCGTTTCATAATTCTATACTCCCCGACCAAAACCGTATCATTGACAAATTGTCTTCGCAAAGTAGGTAATATCAGCAGGCTAGTAGGCTAGTAGGTGACCAGATAACTTAGGTAGACAAACTCCTCGCGAACGCTACGATAGTTGGGATGGAAATGGAGATGGAAATGGAAATGGAACACCTCTAACCCCCTTACCAATTACAATATCCAAAACAGCCGCCCTTAACCCTGAGCTCCCTCCTTGCCGCCGTGCAGCAAGTGTACATACATATGCTATGTATGCCCGACCAAGACACACGTGCCGTGCCCGCAGACACCTGATCAACTTGGGCGCTGATGGAGCATCCACTATAAGCTTCCGCATGAGCGTCGGCTCTATTCTGAGCGGCGCACCAGCCCCTTGCCTACCGGCCACCGGGTGAGATCGATCTATCTACCTCTGAATTCCGTGGCGCCAGGGTTTACCCCCTCGGCGCCACGAGGGACGTCGAAGACGTCTGCCAGGGGCGACAAGCGACCTGCTGCTACGAGCTGCGCGTTAGAACCTCTCCCGCGCACTACGCATTGTCGTCGGGACCGTGTCGACAACTAGAATGTGCTGCGGGCTAGGAACTTGGGAACGGCGGCACGATGTAGGCCTCCCGGATTGATGACGGCTAAGGAAATGAGGGGAAGAATTTCCCTCCCGACGAACCTTTTGTCAATTTCGATTCATCCAAGTTTGTGTCTTCTAAAATACCTCCTAAATTACTACTTCTCGCCTATCATATCATGGTCTCTGCTGCCTATGGGAAATCCGTCCTGTACGCGACCGCGCACTATGTAACAGATGCAGGCTCTTAATTAATACGTAAGACGGTCAGCACTTTGATATAATGTCGCCGTTGAAGCTTGGTACTGTGCAACTCGCCTGACCCAGGAGATTTGAGATGATCTGATTCCCAAACCATTCGCTTAGTGAGACGTGCATGTGATTAATCAATTGGTCGTAACAGAACATCTCAGTGGAAGCCTAAGGGTTCTATGATACGTACGTATGTTATGTTGCGTTTCCCGGCTAAGGGTCCCTCGCAATTTCCATGCCATCGTCCCTATTCGATGGTTTAGAAGCGGCTTCTAAGCAGTATCTCCTCGAATCTACGCCGAGCCGGAATCCTTCAAGGGGTAACTGGTATCTTGCAGCACCGCTTGTAGAGGCCTCTAGGCTGGTGATTGGTGGCTAGGAAATTATGTTGGGCTTAGTTTCGTGTGAATTTGTATTACCGCCTACGTGGTGCCAACGGAACAACCGAAGTGTTCCATTCAGATGGGTCTCAGGTCAGTTCAAGAGCCTCACGCTCTTCAGTAAATAATTTAGGAATAGTGTGCATCTGTCGTCACACAGGATGTCATGGTCGAGTTTTCTTGTTGTCTACTTTTGGAGGTAGCATCTTTGCCTTATGCTGTGGCACGGGGGAGAGTCTTGACGATATTGGGTCATCTCGGGCAATATCGCTAATCTAATGATATTTTTATACCCACGGAGTTTCAGTAGTACTAATAGTGAAGATAGCAGCATTTTGTGCAGTCTTCTTTTTTTAATACCGACCATGACAAATATAATCAAT